TAATATTTCGTTTCAGGTAATTATCGGGTAACACTAATGCTAACAGGTAATGGGTGTACATTAGTATATTTTACTGGATACATCATAGGGCAGGAGCCAGTGTATTGTGACAGATCAATCCAGTCTTAGAGCTGAATATACGAAGACGTGCTAGTGCAGTAGAGTAAAATTCGACTTGTGTTTAGTGACTATTGTGCCAGTGGATATAATATTGTTTGGGTAAAATGTCGAGCTTATCAGATTACGTACCTGCTAAACGCGTGAAAAGATGTGCGCTGTCTCAGAATGAGAAGATTATTATATTAAATGTATTTAATGCATTGAAACACCAAAATCCTACCAACAGTGTTGACGACATCGTGGAAAAGTGTTCCAAAATGACAGGGATTGGAAAATCGACTATCTACAGACTTTTAAAGGAAACAAAAAATGAACAAGATACTGTAAATCCCCCAAAATCATCTATAACGACTTTTGACCTCCCTGTAGATGATTTTGGGGGATTTACAGTATCTTGTTCATTTTTTGTTTCCTTTAAAAGTCTGTAGATAGTCGATTTTCCAATCCCTGTCATTTTGGAACACTTTTCCACGATGTCGTCAACACTGTTGGTAGGATTTTGGTGTTTCAATGCATTAAATACATTTAATATAATAATCTTCTCATTCTGAGACAGCGCACATCTTTTCACGCGTTTAGCAGGTACGTAATCTGATAAGCCCGACATTTTACCCAAACATCCACTGGCACATTAGTCACTAAACACAAGTCGAATTTTACTCTACTGCACTAGCACGTCTTCGTATATTCAGCTCTAAGACTGGATTGATCAGTCACAATACACTGGCTCCTGCCCTATGACGTATCCAGTAAAATCTTCTAATGTACACCCATTACCTGTTAGCATTAGTGTTACCCGATAATTACCTGAAACGAAATATTAGCACGCGCATGGCCGGTTCTTATCTCGGGGTTTTATTACTCTCTTTCATTTCCAAACAGACTATAGAAGAAGCCTCATCAGCCTAAATTGGTGCCAAATTATTCGAATATTCGAATAGTTAAATTATTGGAATAATTCGAATGTTCGATTAGTTAATTATTCGAATAGTAATATTATTCGAATAGTTACATTTACACTTATTCGAATTTATAGTTAGTACTAATTCGAATATTCAAATTATTCGAATATGATTCCCAGCACACTTGAAATAGGTACACTGACATCGGCGTTTTCGAGAACACCTTCTACACATCCGTCGTGGAAACTTTACCTTTCCGTGCTATCAGCAGATAGCCATATCAAAACAACAACACATTACCATTGTGGAATACAATGACAATATTCTAATGAGGTCCACTTTTTTTTTACAACACGGACGCAGACATTTCCTTTGGCGCAATCCGCTACTGTAAAGGCGTAATGAATAATCATTAGGGGAATATCAATATCAATAACTAGTTTGTTTGACAGTTACGACGGCCTTGAAATTAGTTAATGCATCGCTTTTCTCCGGGCCGATTACTTGTATCTCCGTTTAATGACCGGAATTTATCGCGGTCCTCGACTGGATTCGAGGGGGAAATTATTTTGTGATTGCGCCCACCGTTTCGTTGCGGGTAAACGCTAGGCCTAGGGGTTGTCCCTTTGGTGACGTAAGCTTTGGGGGAGATGGTCGGCGGATAACGGTCACGACGGACAAACAACTGTCGTTTAGACAAATTGTGCCTGTGGAAAAGCGCGTTTCATCGTTTTTCTTTTTCGGAAAAGTACTCGGCGTTTTTACATTATTAAGAAAAATTTCAGAGCTACAGCTTGACCAAACTCAAGTTGTCCGCGGGATGTGCAAACCAAGAAGAGGGTCCGCAGTAGGGGTGTGCAAAAAATGTACTCTTTTAAAATTACTATTACTATTTTTAAATATTTTTTTATTATACAGGGTTACAACTTTTTAATTGTCCTATACAGGTATTTTTCTTATTTTAAGAGTTACGTAAATGGTTAAATGGGCAAGAATGTGTAGAATTTTATGGCGATCGCGGACTCGTTTTTAAATTTAGACAATTCAGAATAGTTCCGAAGATATTCGAAGAAAACCGACCATTGCCATTTCTTTTTTAGTCGTATTTTACTTGTTTTTGAAAATTTTAGAACAAAAATTTGTAGTCTGGTATTAAATGATGTAAGGAATCGATTTTTGCTGAGTTTAATGTACATATTTCTCAAAACTTGCGCTGAGCGGTATAGTCCAATCAAGTTAGATTTTGAAGTGCCAAAATTTACTTCAGTAAACAAAAACACGTAAGAATTAGGAAAAATTGCGTAGAATTGAACGAATTACTTTATTCCGGCTGAATGTTGGGGCTTCATTTTCAAAATGGCCTCCAAAGTTCGCAAAAAACAGTTTTTTTCCATTTAAAAAAATACTAAACATTTTAGAAAAAAATGTTTTGGCAAATGTTGTAGAACTTTTTACAACAAAAATTTTAAGCCCAGCTCAATGTCAATTGATATACAAATGTATTAGTTATGGCAATAAAACGGCTGAAAATCGCATTTTTTTAAAAACTTCTATATCTTCA